TGTGTACAGGCGCAAAGAAAATCCAACATGTATTACTGTTTCTGAAGAAAAAAATAATAGAACAGATGTAATATTCAAAAGTGTTAGACAAGGAAACTTTCTGGCCATAGGAACATTGAAAAGGTCTTCGATGAGCCTACGAAAATTGATCCGGATTGATCAACTCTGAGGTATATCTTAGAAAATCAACTAGATTTGAAAGAAAAAAATCCTATGGGTCGCAGGTAAAAAAGACATTTAAAAAGATGCAAGTATAATGGTAATTATTTGAACAAAAACGCAGATATTAGTAACTACAAAATTACAAAAGTTAAGTCTTGGCACTTAACGGGCGAGGGAGGGGTGACTTTTAAGCACTCCCTTACTTTCCCGCACTACAAGATGCTCCGGGCTCATCTCTCCATTTCTTGCCCCAGTATTAGAATCTGCCGTTTCTCCAAAGAAGCCTTGATTCCTTCAATCACGGAAAGGTTGCTGAACTTCGCGGGAAACAGGTCCTTCCAGAAGCTCCGGGTAGAGAAGGGGGTTTCAAAACTCACTCCAAAGTAGGTTACGGAGAAATGGAGGCAGAGGAGGCGTCTTAAACCCTCCAGGCTGGTTACTTGGGAAAATAAAAGTTGAGGTTGCAGCAAAAGGTCTGGTGAGCGCCCGCGGGTCTCGAACCACCGAGATGATTGCAAGTTTTCTGGCGAAGGAACCGCTGAGCTAAAGCCAGCCCGGGAGCCGGGATCTGACTTTATTTATCTGACTGTTGGGAAAGACCTGCGTCACAAAGAGTGAATCACACTGGGAGCTCTCCGGGATGACTCGGTGTTCCACTGTCCAATCCGCTCCCAGCTCCAGAATGCTCCTCTCCCGACGTGCTGCAGCAAGGAAGGACTCAGAAGCTACCCTTCCGTGAACTCTTCCGCAGTAAAGTCCTCCTACTGCCTTTCGGTCCCTTTGCCCCTCCAACAAACACACCGGGTCTCTCAATCATCTTTTACCACTCCGTGATAATCAACTCTTTCAGGGAAGTGAAAGCTTTACAAGGTGCAAACTGTAATTCAGTCCTTGGGACTTGCATGCTTAAACCAGTAAAACGCTACAGACCTTCGTCCAGAAGTTATATACTTCTAGTATCATTTCCTCTATTACTGTTTTCTCTAAAATTATTTTAACCACAAAACACCTATTCTGGCCGGGCGCGGTGGCGCACGCTTGTAATCCCAGCGGCTCTGGAGGCTGAGGCAGGAAGATGAAAGTTCAAGGCCAGCCTCAGCAAGGGCCAAGCTCTAAGCAACTTCAGTGAGACCCTGTCTCTAAATAATATACAAAATAGGTATAGGGCTGGGATGTGGCTCAGTGGTTGAGTGCCCCTGAGTTCAATCTCTGGTACCGCCCCCCCTCCACATACACACACCCAAAGAACACCTATTCCTTTACCTGCCCTGTAAACTGCTAACATTCCCCCGAAATTTCAAGTTTTCTCCAGTTGGCCACTGTTAAAATTTCTGTGTATCTTCCCAGTCCTTTTCCTCAATCTTTATGCCTAACTAACTGTACACACAACAATTTTTTGTTTCTGAGGATCACAAATTTTTTCCTTGACTAAGTCAAACTGAAAATCCAGTTTGTTGGGTATTCTTTTTGTTTACTTAATGTCTTGTGGAGGTTTCCTATCAGTACATATAAGACCTAATTCATATGTATTGTAATGCTTGCTTTATATTTAAGTTTAAATATACTAGTTTTAGATGCTTTGCTATCATAAAGCTGAAGTGAATATCCTTGTACGTATATGTACACATACACAGGTATATTGTTTGAATTTGTCGTGCTGGGGATCCAACCAGGGTCTCCTGCACACTAGCATGACACAGATATGAAGATAGGTGCTTTTAAGTAGAAATGTTGGGAGAATCTGCTCATTTCAATTTTTGTAGGAGGTTATGGGAGAAAGGCCAGAAGCCCAGAGGATGCCTGAAGCCACAATCACCTAAAGGCATAAAGATCTTTTGTTCCTCAATTTTTTTTGTGGGTTTTTGTTTTGTTTTGTTGTTGTTGCATGTACAGGGAAGGGCATTCTTGGTAAAAGAAACAAAACAAGGCAAATTCACTCACACAAGTCTCATGCCCTCAGCTCCAAGATTAGCTCATTGAGGACAGAGATCAATCGATATCTTACTCCCTGCATCATCATCTCTGAGCATCTACAGCTTAATGAGGCACAAAGCTTCTCCCTGTCCAGATTTGCAATTAACCTACATGATTAGGTGTCTGTCTGATGGTAACAGCTACCTCAAAGGCTGTGTTCAAAATCACCAAGGGAAGCCAGGCACCTGTAATCCCAGCAGTTTGTGAGCCTATGGCAGAAGGATTACAAGTTCAAGGCTAGCCTCGGCAATTTAGGAAGGCCCCAACAACTTAGGGAGACCCTGTGTCAAAATAAAAAAATAAAAAGGACTGGAGATGTGGCTCAGTGGTTAAGTACTTCTGGGTTTAATCCCTGGTACCAAAAGTCACAAACCAAGATCAAGAAATTGCCTGTGAATGGTATGGAGCAGGTCAGGTCATCCAGGAGATTACTGCAGTCACTTAAAATTCCTCCTGTGTTTGACCCGCTGGTGCCCACTTAGGGACTTTCAATTTCATTAGGTTTCTGCTAATTTCCAATTACCTAAGAGCTTTTTTTCCGTAACTGTAGAAGGAAAGCTCATCTTCCCCATCTACCAAACATACCAGGAAAACAATAACTTCCCCAGCAGCCCTTGACTCTCAGGAAAAACACTCCAGCTCCCTTACTCTCCCCTCCAGGTAGGATATTCTGAAACAGTGTTCTATGTTGGTCTGTGCTGAGTTCCACAACATAAGGCTCCAGCTATTCACACTGGTAGCCATCCAAGTAATCTAACCCTCCTGTCTCAATTCTCATACATGATCTAAATCAATGACTTGCATCAAATCCCTGCTCCAGATCTGCTTCTTGGAGAATCCAGACAGACATCAACCATGCACCTGGAAGTTGATATACATTAATTGATGGAACCTGCTTAAAAGTAGAGAAGTCTTTCAGAGAGTTAAAAGTCATGACATGGATCAGAGGAGACATACACAATGTCACTTCTTACAAGGTTATGATATGACTAGATAAGGTTATTTACCACCACAATATGGAAACAAAAAAAGATGGGGCAGTTCACTGGTGCAAATACAAGCAGAGCTGATGGGAAAGGGCTATGGTCACTTGACTCAAGTGAAGGGCATCTTGAGCCATGGATGATGCTTTCCTCCTGGAAAACAGATCCTTCAGGCCCTATCAACTTAATGCCCTTGGCCACTGAAATCACACCAACCATACCTCCTTATTTCTGACTTGTGTTTACATAGTGCTACCTAAGCACTTTCAAACAGTAATTTCACCAGAATGTATTCCATGACATTTGGGATCTTGATATTTTGCCCCAGAGGATACCACCAGAAACTAAGATTGTTCACCTAAGCATTTACCAAATAAACACATCTAAACCCGTTACAGGTACATTCCTCAACTAGAATGCAGTTACCATGAATTTCATAAAGTTTTGAAAAATAAATTCCTCTTCCAGAGATTTCTGAATAATCAGATTATTCTTGGTTCCTAAATTTTCATACTATCTCCTGCCTCCCTTTTCTAAGCCAGCACTTTGAGCCCCTCTGAACACCCATGACCTGTCTAGGTCCCTTCAAGTCTTAGGAATGGCAGCATATGCCTATAATTCCTGCTAAAGAGAGGTTATTGTAGGAGTATCCCAAGATTAAGGGCAGCCTTTACAATTTAGCAGGATCCTATCTCAAAATAGCCCCAGAATTCGAGTTCCAGTGTGGGGTGAAGAGACATCTCAAATCAGCCAAGAGAGTTTAGAAAATCTGGAATTCACAATTGCTTTTTAGTAGAGACGACCAGAAGATTCCACTGTACTAGAGAAGAAATTATTTGAAGTTGAATTTCCAAAACAATGAATACTTAACCACAGAACTCCCCATCAATAATATATCCAGCCCGTCTTGAAAAGGATACTTTTACCCAAGGCCCTGGAATGTATATGATCCTGGCAAGAGCAGCCACTGATCTACCCAGTATTGACTAATACTTATATAAAACTTTGAGCCCAACCTTGAGTCATAGGTGGACAAATTGTTTCCAGTAGCCAGATTCAGTATCAGAACTAGGCAAAAGGCATGCCTGATAGCAAGGGCATTTTATACAAAAGCCCAGAGTACGATGCTTTGCAGGACCCACAGTGGTTCAGATATTTCATAAAGATGAAGAGCTAGAAAGAGCAGAGAAAGGTGGCAGCCTTAGCCTGAATAAATCCTCCTTTCTAGCTTACAAAAGCAAATGTATTTTCAATGAGGTTTTTTGTTTTGCTTGCATTATGGCTGTTTTTTTACATTTGTATCACTAGATCTGGCAGTACCTGATTTAGATCAGATTTCTGTTTTGTTTTTAGACTGTGCTATTTAATTCTCAAGTTAGATCCTGGTAGGGAAGTCGCCTTCTCAGTGATTCTCAGTGGAGGTTAAGAGGAGGCAATTTGCCTACCTCCTGAAACAGACATTTTTAGTTGTCAAACTAGAGGTGCTGTTATGCCAACTAGTGGGTAGAGGCCAGGGATGCTTTTAAACATTCTATAATATTAAAACAGCCCCTATACCAAAGACTTATCTCGCCCAAAATGTAAATAGTGCTAAGACTGAGTAACCTGGTGCCTAGCCCCCCACTACAGATAAGAAAAACTGTTAAGTTCAACCCTGACTTCTATTCATGATCAAAGGAGGCTGAAATTATAGGAAGTTTTGTCTATACTCCTCAGGACCCAGACCTTTCATCAGAGAAAAACAACTCATGCTGAAGGAACCTAAGTTAATATAAAAACACAGAGATCAAATGAAGAGAGAAAAAAAGGCTCTATAGTAAATCCTCAGTATGGGAAGGAAAAACATACACACAGCAAAGAATATGGAATGCTCCCACCAAATGTGAAACAGGCCCAGTCAATGCCATTTATTATACATGTTGAATAACCTCTGAGACCCAAGGGCTCCCACAGTGAGTTTGTATGCTTGGTTGTATTTTTTGGTTTTTGGTTGTTTTTTGTTGCTTTTTTTTTTTTCCATTTTCTTTTTTTGCATCAAACAGGTTCTTCCAAGAGCCTGCTCACAAGGAAGACAAAAACAAAAGAAATCTTCAGTAAAATGAAACAAACTGGAGAAGGTAAAACAGTCCACATCTGAAGAACAATGTTAAAAAACTCAGCAGACAGAAACCACACCAAACACTCATCCCATTTAATTTCCTGTTACATGCGCTAAGGAAACCAAGAACATCAGGCCCCAGGGCAGCAATGCTCTGAGAGTCTAGCTCAGGCTCCCCTCTTTGTGACAGATTCATGCACACAATCCACACATACCATTGACCCAGGCAGAAATACACATGCATGCACAGGAGGAGGCTAGAGAACCATAGGGCAGGATGGGAGGCAGGGCTGGTCAAAAATATGGCATCAGCTGGAAAATGGGGACCCAGAGAATCCTTCTGTTGCAGGCTGAACAAGTCAAAAATAAAGGCAGAACACAGGATAAAGGTAGGATGCTCAGACAAGAGGTTAGATAGATGAAGAGGGAAAGATGCAGAGGGAGTTTTGGGAAAGCAGTCTCAGAAGGGGAGGCCTTTCTTTATTGGGAACTCAGATGGGCAGAGGTCTTGTGACTCCGGTGATATACTGGAAGCTAAAGGAATATGCCACAGCATTACCTTTGCATCCTGTGTCCTCTCTCACAGTAGAGGGAAGCCACAAACACCCACCCTTTAGCCCTGCCCACAGACACTCTTAAGGACTTTCCCCAGTACCCAAAAAGAAATGATCCCCCTAACACACACACAAAGTTAGGTCCAGCATAGGCCAAAGTTAGGCCAAGCATAGAAAGCCTCAGTAACTCTTCTTGGTGGAACCAAAGCCAGAGAAGCCCATCACAGCTGCCATCTCATCATCTTCTTCAAATGTCAAGTCTTCCTCAGCCCTCCTCTTCTTCTCCTTCTGTTTCTCTTTCTTATATGCTTTAGCCTTTTCCTCCTGGGGGGAAGGGCAGAAATAACTCAGTTCAGACTCCTGAGCCAAATGTTGTCAAAAGAGATGGGAGGGGCCGGGGTTGTAGCTCAGTGGTAGAGTGCTTGCCTAGCATATGGGAGCACTAGTTTTGATCCTCAGCACCACATAAAAATAAATAAATAAAATAAAGGTATCTATCTACAATTAAAAATAATAATATATATATATATATATATATATAT